TTTAAGTATACTTAAATGCGTTTTGATATATATCGGGCAAACTGAAAGTTTAAGTCAAGGAAAATCAATCATATTTTCAGAAAACAGAAATAAACAAATCTTCGATAGCCATCACAGTTAGCACTTAATAACAAGCTCTTTCGCGTTAACAAAAAATTTTCTTCTGTAATTAATGCCATTAATTCCAATCCAGTTCGTTCCAACACTTTCAAAAATCTAACATCTTATATTCTTTAGGTTTTATTAGTTCAAAGAGGTTTTGTCCCTGAAGGATTGTTGTTTTCGTTTTGGGATTTAGCGTTGAATCATTATAAATGTTTGTTTCACTTTTTAAACTGTTGCCACCAAATTTTAGAGTTATGCATTATATTTGAAGAAATTAAATAATGAAAAATCTGCATAAATGTATGTCTATTTCTGGCAATGTGATAAAACAACGGTACATAGAGCCATCGAATTTTGAATGACGTAATCCTCCTACGAATACGGGCATGTGGAAGACCAAATTTGAAATTTGGAATTTGTTTTATGATCGCTTTCATTTTGTAAAACTTTAACGAATTTTTGATTAACAAACTCAAGGATTTCAAAGCGAGCAATGGTAACACTCTACGGGGGCGGGGGACTTTTTATCTCCAACGCGCGTAACTGTGTCTCGGAAATTCTAAAGATAGGTTCATTTTAAAATTATTTTGCGACATTGCTATTGAACTGAATTTAATGGTTTAAGAGCAAAGGACATGATATTTAATAAATAAAGGTAACACACAAAATGTTAAAAAAAAAGCCTCTTTGGACGTAATTTAAAATCTGAAACCTTTCAGATTTTTTAAATTATTTTCCTTAGCATATCGCGCTATTTTCGTTCTACTTTGCTTCATCTGTTGCTTTCTACATAAAATTGCATGGTTTGTCCATTAAAAAAAGTGTTTTGCAGCTGTAAAGGGAAGCAGTAACGTCTGAGTTCTAGTGAGAGAAGTTTGCGCTTGACTATAATGTATCATTATGAAGATGACTTTCTTCCTTTTGTTCAGGGTTTTGAGTCATCATCATAATGATAAACGGACGAAAGAGAGACATGGACGTGTCTCTCCCTGAGACATGGACGAGAATTCTGCTAATCCGATTATGAATACTAATAATCTTTCCGAAGTTGTTCCAACTGTTATTAGTTTGCCGAAGGAGAACTTTCTAAACCTTGAAAAACAGACTTCAGAACTTCAAGCGGAATATGATCACTATATCGTAACAGAAATATGATTATGATCGTAACAGAATCAGATCATGATCAGAAATGATAATCATGATTAGAAATATGATCACTATATCGTAACAGAAATATGATTATGATCATAATCATATTTATGAGAATATCATTATGATCGTAATAGAATCAGATCATGATCAGAAATAATAATCATGATTAGAAATATGATTATGATCGTAACAGGAATATGAAATATGATCACTATATCATAACAGAACTTTGTAGGCATTAAACATCTGGAATACCGGATTCTGAAACAATGAAGCTAAGCAATGTCTGGAATTTTTTCCGGGATGAGTTGAAAGTTTTCATTTACTCAGGCTTTGCTATCCCTAACCGTCTAAACTTCTGCTCAAAGCCCCCTAATTCCAGCTTTAAATATAGGACATGAAACAGATGAATCAAAGAATCGTAATACCAAATGTGTGACATATTCAGCGAAATAATGCTGAATGGCATAAGTCCAAACTTCGTCATACTATTTTATACATAACGTTTCCCAACTTTTTGAGTTGTTGTTTCTTATTTGTGAACACCCCTCGAAAGGCATAAAACTCATTGAAAATATTTTGATCTGATTCATGGATGTTAGGGCATTTCGAAAGGCATCCTGGTTATCTGTTTCAGTACAGACACTTCAGTCTTTCGAAGAAGCGTCTGTCATGAAAACGTTTTGGAAATGGGCCATGGCCTATGATGAATCTTTCCACATGAAATTCTGATATGGAAATCGCTGCAGTGGTGATTTCGAGGAGAAACTCGTGAAATCTTCGTTTCTGCGAAGTAGTGTGCTATTCTTCTTCTACATGCATATGACTGAATTTGATGTTTTCGTTTTTAAGTGATACTTTGGTAGATGTTATGTATCTTCTTCTCACCTGTCTTTCAGATAGTATCCTTTCTGAGGACGTCAGCTACTTCTTTGTCAACATTTTTTTAGCACCCTGACAGTATTCGCACTGCAATTTTTGGTGAAATTGTATCATCCATTATTCTGAGGAGGCTTATATACTCTTCTTCTACATACTTAAATTTTTCGAAATCCTTAAAAATACAATGGGGATATACTGGATTTTGATATTAAGCATTTCGCAGGGTGTATTAAGAGAATATTCCAGGATATTCTGAACATTTCGTACGTTAGGACTTTAAATCCTTTTAACATCCCGTACATTGTCGACGGGACTTAGCGAAGATGTCTTGACATATTGGGACGTAATATTAAGCCTTCAGAGGACATGTTTGGGAAGTTAAAGAATATTTTGGGATATCCTGTAGATATAGGTTCTCGAAAGCAATATCTTCAGGACATTATAAGGTGTTTTTGTGCTTTGTCAGTAAGAATCAGCGGTAGAAATACACATGTTGTCGGAAGGCATACGAGAGATAATAAGAAGAGACAAAACCACTAAATTTTCTTCACGTTGGATGATTCCATACTTATTAACTCTCTTTAATTAACTTATTATTATTATCATTACACTGCTTTTTTTTCCAGATTTTCAGGGTTTTAGATCATTCTACATTCGTGAACAAATTTTTTCTGTCATATATCCAAGCTGCTTCTGCTAATCGCCTTATTTCACATTAAACATCTCGTGTTCACTCAAAAAAATCTTTATACATTCACGACAAGCAGTGCATACTAGGACAGTGCACCAGATGGGAGGGACTTCCAGACCTGGCCTCAGCCTTAACATTTATCATAAGTGACAAAGTAACGCAATCAGATTTCTGGAACACTTCCCTACCCTGTATAGAGCAACGTAAGTTGGTGTGCATATCTTATTACTTATAACTTAAAAAGTTCAAAAAAAGCGTGCGAGTCCTAAATTTAGTATTGAAGACTGGAGAAATAGCAATAATGGCAAGTAATTTCGTGATGCAATTATAGTGATGAGTAGTAGTAGGTGAATATGCATTTAGCGCTGATTAACCCCTTAACTGCCGCGGAAAACGTACAAGATTCATTCCCCAGTGCCACGGTTTTTCACATATCCGCGCGTAGTTATGCGATTTATTAGGGGGAAAATAAGAGCAAGTTTTACTTTCTAAAAATTGTTTAGTTTCACAAAATAAACAGTAAAAAAAAAAAAAAAAATGCATGCACAAAATTTAATATTTGAGTAAAAATATAATAAAAAGATGTAAGTATAATAAAAATGAGGTTTTTATAATAAAAAAGGTCCCTATAATGGGGTTTTCGATCAATTCATTTTTTTAGACCAGTAAAGTGTAATATCATGTTTTCAGTGTTATATACCTTGTGAAATCAGATTGCCTATAAAACATATATTTGTTCTGAATGGTTGAATGCCACGATATTGTTCTGATTTTTCGTTTGCAAGGTGTTGTTGGTTCATATACTCGTCTACAAAACGGTTAGTTTCGGTAGTAATATAAAGCACGAGCAGTTCATCAAAAATAATTCAAGAAAGATAAATGGGTTGAAACATCCGTTATATCTTTCTTTTTCCTGGACCTACTACAAAAAGTAAACGAAAACGGAGGACACAGAATAAAAAAAAAAAAAAAAAAAAAAAAAAAAAAAAAAAAAAAAAAAAATTTTACTCAAACACTAGCCAATACCACGCAGTCATTATTTCAGCACTTTAGACACGTCCCTCTCTCCAATTTCTCCCACCTCTCTGAATAATATCCTCCTTCACATACTTCGTCAAGCTCATTCTGGTGTTGCATTCCAGAAGTTTGCGAATAGTTTAACGGGTAGCAGCGCAAAGCAACTGATAGTATTTTGTAAGGGCGTATATATACGCCCGGGGCAGTTAACGCATCGGCTGAGCAAGGCGTATATATACGCCCGCGGCAGTTAAGGGGTTAACTCGAACGTGTAGCAATTTTGGCATTAAAGTGGGCATATCTGGTGCTTGAAATAGTAGACTAGTAGCTGCATCGAAATGCTGTAGAATAAATTCACTTCGGGATCGAAGAGCGTTAGTTACCCTCTGCTTAGCTGGAGCGCGAACTTCTTCATTCAGTCTCTTCCGTCTTACTGAAAAATGCCCTTCCAGCCATCCCGTGCATTTCAGCCTTAACTCGATTATAACGCCCAACCCCTGAAGGCTATCTGAGGCGGCGCCATTCCCTTTGGTCAACCTAGAGGGATTTAAATGTTTCGCATAGCAAAATTTATTTAAGCACACAAGAACAGGTAGGCGGACGGCAGCACATCCACCGAAAAGAATAAAGTCACACAGTTAGACATTGACCATCCCTCGGTGTTGACCAAGGGAACCCCATCCCCCAAGGACAACCTTCGATATATGACCATGTAACGTCCCCACAACCAAGAGGCAGATAAGACAGTACAGTGAGGTCCCTGTCGGTGGTTCTATCACTGTGAAGACAGTTTACTTACCTGAGAAGCCGAGGCTGTCTAGATATTGATCTAGCCAGTACATTGGGATGGTCAGTTTCAGTCGACCTCCAGGAATGGTCATCTGTTTTTGTCAATTACATTTTAAATAATATGGACTTCTAACAAGTACTGATATAAAATCGAGGAGCACAATAAACTGTTTACTACATTTGATTTCAATGAACATTATTTGATAGCCATGATACATTTTCATATACAATGTGCGTTTTCCGAGATATTGCAAGATTTATGAATTAACACTAAACAATTAAAAAATAAAAAATACTAAAACATGTCTATAAGCAGCGTAAACGAAAGTAGATAAAACAAGAAGTAGTTTAATCCGGAATGGCAAAATAAATTTCTGATGAACGGAATAAAGAAACAATGATTGCAGTTCATATCTTAAAATGTCTATTTTTCGGCTGGGAGTTAGACATGAGATGAGAAGTAGAACATTTCCTGAAGGCTTGTTTATTTCTTGAAACTGCAACGAAAACAGTAAATCAATTATTTATAAATTCAAAAATTGCTTAAAATAAATATTTCTGCACACAAATGCATTCTTATATATTACGCAATTAAATACATTATTTCCAAGGAAAAAATTGTTTTACTTGAATTGCTAAATAATTTTATTGCATTTAACATTAAACGATACAAACGGACTTAGATATGAAATGGTAAGGCAGAAATTTTCTTTTGTATTTTAATTTCGTTATGCATAATAAGTAAGCAAATGGAAGTTGTAAAAGTATTCAGAATACATGGTCAACTTAATAGCAAAGAAATTTACTTATTTGATATATGTGCGATAAATTGTTAGGGTATGATTTGGCTACACTTCAGAAATGATTAAAAACTACTGCTGCTGTAATTTTTGACTGGAGAACACCCCCCCTCCCGCTAAAGCACTGTTAAGTGCTATTAAAGTTACAGTGAAATAACTGTGCATGAAAAGGGAATTTCTAGTCACCTTGCACAGTTACATACATTATTCAAAGTAATGAACTTTATTCAAGTCCTTTCGTAAAGGTTTGGTTTGGTTTATTTGACTACGTCAAAGCACTGCCTAGGTGGACCGATGCCTTCACGGAGGTCTTTCCAAGGGAAACTGGCTTTTATGCACGTTACACATGAGGAAAAACATGACAAGACCCATGCAGCCAGCCCGTTCGCAGGATTCGAACCTGAGACCGAATTACTAGCGTTCTGCGACTTTACCGCTCGGCCGTTGGTGGGGGCCTGTTCTCTTGTAAAAATTATTCATAATGCCATTTATTAATTAGTGGCTTAGTTTCCAATGATGCTTAATCTACTATTTATAGTGTGTTCCTTTTGATTGGAATGCTGATTCAAAATTGATAATGGCATAATTCTCCGATTAAACTGCTTATATATATATAGGTAAATCCTTTACGGTACTGTCCTGTTATCTTCAAAACTAGTTATTCTTCTTTCCTGTGTTTCTTCAACTGCTTTCAATTTCACCTATGATTTTCAATTAACAGTGGATATCGTCTCCGGTCCTAATCCTGTCAGTCAAGAGTTGACTATACTGCGCTTTTCACAGCTTATTACATGGATTTTACAGTAAATGTTGCTGACACTCAAAATTCGCCTTATCTAGCACATGGAAATTCAAGCAAACGAGCCGTTTGCATAGGAGTTTAACGTGAATACGAACCAGCTTTCCTTAAAACTTTCTCCACAAACGCATCTCTTCGCGTAGGCAGATAGCTCTTGGGAGATCTGCCGCATTCAAACAATCTAAAGATATCTTGTTTACAAGACACTTAAAATTTTCTCTCGTTGAATTACTGAGTGCTATTTTGAGTGCAAATTACTATTCTTCTAAGTTGACAATTGTTTTTCAAAAAGAGTGACGGAATAAATACACTTAAAATAAAACATTAAGTATAAGAATAAAAATGACTGTAAACAAATGTGTGAAGCAGATGCAATGACTCTTCATTCGAACTCATCTGCTCTGGGTCACATGATATGTAATAAATACTTGTGACTCACCAACGAAAGTTTGACACCTGTTATGCGTCATGGGATCGGATGAAAAATGACTTAGATAGTTCGCGCGACCATTGTTGTAGCAACAAGATTACTATTCTGTGTATTTTTTGTATGTTTCGGTAAATAAATGTGTTTTTGAAATTTTCACTAAGGCCCAAAGCTGTCATAAGAAAATATGTTACAATATTCGTTACTTCATCCACAGAAAATTAAAGGCACATCTGTTCGAAATCAGTAATTCTTAATTCTTCAGAAACCATCACTTTTTCGTGTATAAAACTCGTTATAATACCATATTTTAACCTATGTTAAATTTTTTGCACTCAAGAAAATTATAAATGTTTGGATAGATTAACTCTCGTAAGTTAATAAATGAATTTTTCTGTGTATCTATCTGTGTTTTAATTCTACTTACCTTGTCTTGCAATTTATTAATCAAGTAAACTATTGGTAACAGATTTAGCTGCTTTTTAAAATTTCTGCATATACGTATGTGTGCCTTCAAAACGTTTATATTGAATCATGCATTACTCAGATTTCCAAGCAGCCAAGTTTGACTCATAGCGACATTTGTCTGCTTTGTAGATTTCTCTACCAGTTGTTTGCAGATGCTGGCAAGATATTTCCTTTTTTTTTTTTTTTTTTTTTTTTTTTTTTTTTCAGTCTCTTCTAAGTTGGCCCGTATACTTTAAGTAAGTATTATTATACTTTAAGTTTCCCTTCACCACTATATTGTAACAGAAGTTTCAACGCATAAGTTCACCAGTTTTTGGGTTTGGAGAAGTGTTTCCTTGATGAGGCCAAAATTACTGCTGCCGTATCAGCATGGATCATATCTCTTAAAAACCAATGGAAGAGACCCTGCCATTGCTAGAAAACAAGCTGCTATGGTCAATGCGTCATGATTTGTACACAGCAGTATTGTCTTGAATGATCAAAATATAAATGACTATATTTTAACGATATACTTAGTAAGGCTTCAGTCTCAGAGTTTATTGCGATTGCTGCATTCACGGATAAGATCCTACAATATTAACTAATTTTAAAAGACTAAGGATAGTGCATCACGATCCCAAGTGGCAAAGTAAGACCAGATTCTCATTTTTTAATTTTATATATATTATCCTTTCTTTGTGTTTGCATACTTCAAAAGGACAGTTATTCGTAAATACTGCTTTTTCAGTTATTCGTGTATACTTTATTACAACTTAAAATTCTTGTGTAAATTTAGCAATGAATATAGTCAAATAATAATTGTTTATGTAGAGAGGAGCATTATCTGGCGCCGAAATACAGCATTTATTGCATTAATTGAAGCAAAAATATTTATTTATCGAAATTTGCATTTACCTCAAATAAATACTTTAGGTGAATATTTAGGGCTGCGATATATGTTTTCAGAATAATCTTCACTATATGAACCAGTATATGGACCCGTACTTCCACTGATACTTCTACTACTTTCCATATCTTCTGCTGAATAATATCTTTCAGACTTCTGAAAAAAACGTTTTCTACATTTATCAGGGTTAAATTAATCATGAGTTATATTTAGAATGTAATAGAATCTAAGAAATAAGCATTAAAATGGAGGCATTGCTTCGGTAAAAGTTAGTCTCATAACTCAAAATCAAAATTTATATTTTATTCCGAAAACAATCCAATAATCAAAAGCGCAAAACATTACTGTGTTTAGAGTCTGTTGATATAGGATATTTATGGCCTTAGTAATTTCACAGTTTTGGTCTGCAATTTTCAAGAGGTTTATCTAAATAGGCTATTGCACAAACGAGTGACAAGTAGGAAGACAACAAATATTAAACTAAATTAAACTCAGTGGTGCAACAGCCCTAGTGAGCCATGGCTTCCAGAGCCCCAAAATCTACTTTCCTGATCGTTTCCAGCGTCCGGGAACAAATGAAGGTCTCGCGCCCCTGTTAATTGCGAAGAATACAAAACATTTCATTCTAAAATTCGTATCATGAGTTCAGTGTCCCCTGGATGCTGCGCCCGGAGTTACATGCTCCCTCTAACTCCCTCTATTCCCTCTGGGGGCGATGCAGAGAACTCTGGCTAGGATCTGTACCTAGGCAGTCTCGGCCACGGGCGTATAAAATTCATGAGCTTGGCGGTTCCAGATCCCCAAAGAAAGGTCGTTCATACGGCTGGACTGCGGGGGTATTGGCGAAGACTACTGCCCTGTGAGGAGAGAGGTAATAACTCTGTACTCCGCCAGGCGGTTGGCCCACCAGGGGAAGTGGTGACCCTCTGGTTTGGAGAGAGGTAATAACTCTGTACTCCGCCTGGTGTGGTTGGTCCACAGGGTGAGGGTCCGAGCCCATGTAGTACTGGCGGGTAGCATCTAGATGACCGGTCAAAGCGTAAGGCAAATAAGTGCCACACCCTTCCATGAGATCGAGAACCGGTAGCCCGGTCAGATTGGTTGGGAGAGTTTAATTACAAACTGTTGCTTGTAAGTGTGGGACGATCGGCAGGGAGCGAGATACCAAAGCCACTCATGTAGGAATATTCTTTTGCTTTCTCCAGCCTCCCGTCTAATACGAAGGATTTAAGAAAGTGAAGCAGGGCGTATAGTAAGCAGGTCAGTATTTTCTGGCGGAACACGTTAACTTACCACTAACTCTCTCTAGTTACGCCCCTGCCGTGGGGCACGGGATGCATGAGCATATGTTCACAAGGACCCCGGACAACTGGTCAGCTTGTCGCAGGAACTTCGGTATTTAGTCTTTAACTGAACTTGGTACTCATTTTATCGACTCACACAAGAGATGGAAGACTGAGTCAACCTTGTCCAACTCGGGGATGGAACCAAGGTGCTGTGGTGCTGCTGCTCAACGTGCTAGCCCCTGAGGCACCAGACCTTCGATAGAGATTTAGTAGCCCTAAATATTAGGCAACTATTAAAATCTGACAGTTTACAATTAAGCAGAGTTGCACAACTTGTATGCGCTGCTGAAAGATTGTAATAAATAACATAATCATTCTCAACAGAATTAGTTTTATTTAAGTTTTGTTTAATTTATCTTCTATTTCCACACTGTAAGTCTATGTTCTTTTATGCTATTTTTTATGCAACAAACACGACCAAGCTGCTTCTCTGGTTCCCCATAAATGTGGCTTGATGTATAATGAACAGTTGTCCAACTTTCTAATGTAATTTGAACAGAATCGCGCTGTCTTTTTAATAACATTATAGTATACATCCAAAGTACCAGTTTTAAACTTTAAGTCATATTCTCATCACATAATTAACAAACAAAAGTCAAATAATTCTATTTTTGCGATGTACTAAGGTTGCCATCCTACATTTAAAGCAAGTATAGACGAAAGAGACCGTAAAACAGTTTACGTTCGCTCGCATCATTTATCTCAACAAGCTAACCAGCCTAAGTGCTTAGATTTTTGAAAGATGGAAGGCATAACGTATTTGCAGCGCAATCAATATAATCCTGATTTTCGTCACCATATAAAAGTTATTCAGGAATTTTACTTATACTGAAGTTATTTCTATTTTGAAGTCTCTGCAATGATTCCTGGAAATATTTTCATGAAGTTCTTGAGTGATGAGAAAATTTACCCACTTACCGATTTTGAATAGCTGCTGGTTCGAGAATAAGTTGAAGATTCTTCCAAAGACGTTTTTATAGTCTCGCTTGGGAAACTACTGAGAGTTGTCTCTTCAGATTCCACTTGGGATATTGAACTTCCTGAGGAGAAACTTGAAAAACTTTCTTCTAAAGAGAAATACCAATATTAATACTCGAAGTAGAATTGAATATTACGATAGTAAAATATATTTAGACTCAGCTCATTTTATTATATTTTGCAACAACTGATAGGCACCGATTCTACCAACTCTGGTAGCCTCGTATCTTGTGCCACTTTTTTGTAACTAACACAATATTTCAAATTTTTTTTATTGTTAAATCAAAATTAAATTAGATATAAGCCTTACGATATTAAAAATGTGTTTAATGGTTAGTATTGTTTTTATTATTTGCGTATTTATAAAATGCATTTTATTTTTTAATTATTTCTAATATTAAAATCATCAATTTCAAAATTTAAGCTTTTAAAACTGCAACAGATCAATATTTCTACAAATTTCATTATATGGTTTATTAATCACGGAATGTTTTGTCCATTAATACACTAAAATTAGAGTTATAAATAATTCTGCAACTGAGTCAAGTAAAATAAAAATTCGCGAAAGTTTCATTTTGCATAAAATCTAAAAAATATTTATCTTTAATAGAGGAACAAACTGAATATTAACGAAAGCCGAAATCAATGTTTCTTACATCAAAATGTAGTCAAGTTTCGAACACAAAGGAAAGTTTTAGAAGAAAATTAAAATTTTAATATACCGAATATGCAAATAATAAGAAAATGAAGGAACCGTTTTGCATTTTACAGTTTTTGTAATGTAAGCAGCATACGAGCAGGCCGAGTGTTTAAAATTGCTGAACGCCCACAGCGTCGAGAGATTAGAGTTGTTGGCTAACGTTCACATTTCGGTGAACTGCCTGGCTGCTTTGGAGTTTTTGTGGCTTTCCTACACTGACTACCAATAAGTATTTGGACACCTGTGATAGAAAAGAAAAACTAACTTTATTCAAAATCAATAGTTGGTAGAGCCTCCACGAGAGGTAATTACAGCGTGGACCCTCCGGGGCATACTTTCCACAAGTCTTTGTATGACAGCAGGTGGTATTTTCTTCCACTCGGCTTGGAGAAGACATAGAAGTTCCTTCACCGATTTTGCACGGGTAGTGCACCCCTGAATTCGACGACGCAACTCCTCCCAGAGGTTCTCGATAGGGTTCAGGTCTGGACTCTGGGCAGGCCAGTCCATTCGATGAACTCCATTGGCACCATACCAAGCCTTGGTTAACGTCGAAACATGACACTGGCATTGTCGTCCTGAAAGTAACAGGGGTCCAACCCGTAAAACTGCCACAACGTAGGAAGCACATTGTCATCCAAAATAGTGCATTAGGCATCGGAGTTGAGCTTACCATGAATGGGGACCAAGGGTCCCAGCCCATACCAGGAGAAACACCCCCAGACCATAATTCCACCTCCGTCGAACTTGACTGTTGGCACAATGCATTCTGGCAGGAGACGTTCTCCAGGTAGACGCCAGACCCAAAGCCTGCCATCCGAACGGTAAAGGGTGAACCTTGATTCGTCACTCCAAAGAACCCGTTTCCACTGATCTACGGTCCAATTCCGATGTGCTTTGCACCACATTAACCGAGCAGCGCGGTTGGACTTTGTGATAAAGGCTTATGGGCAGCAGCACGACCAGGAAAACCAAGTAGATGTACTTCCTTACGAATGGTATTCATTGAAACAATACTCTGGATGCCTGTTGAAACTCCTCACGGATGAGGGCCATCGTTTGGGTGCGGTTCTTCCGAATTTCTCTGGACAGCACTCGTCGGCCTCTATTCCCCAGTTTCGTTGGTCTGTCGACTCGGGGCACATTCCGACAATCACCGCTCACCTTCCACTTCTTAATCACATAGGCCACTGTCGATTTTGGGTACTTCAGATCGCTAGATATGTCCCTTAAGGATCGGCCACATTTGTGATACCCGATAATTATACCTTTCTCGAAATCAGAGAGCTCCGAACTGCGAGGCATCTTGCATGCGACTAAAGCCGATGCTGTTTCCTACACGATATATACCGGCGGAGTCCGTGACGTACCTTAGGACCGCAGATATCGTCATTTGCATAGGTGTCCAAATACTTATTGGTAGTCAGTGCAGTATGTGACGTGAACACGTGCCTGTTTCAATTAAAAGATCTACACAAAGTCATCCATTAGACAGATCGTGTCATGTGCTTTACGGCAATCCTAAAAATTCAATTCAATCCAATGCATCGTACATATTACATTTATACTTTTACGAATTTTGTACATAGACAGATAATTTTCGTGAAATTATATGGGAAATAGTTGTATTCTTCTGTAAAATGCAACACGAAAAACTTGAGAGAAACCATGCTCTGCCGGAAAACTAAGAATACAAGGGCAAATCTATTACACATTGAGTAAATGGCTACCTCGCTAATTTGGCGAGATATCACCAAGCTGGCTACGGTTTGGGGATTTGGAGATATTGTATTTGAGAGAGCTTCGCCGTTTAGATGCGCTTTGCATTCTGTTGTGTTTAACATTCCTGGTAGTTTGAAGTATAATTACTGCTTGTATTCTGTGATACTGTGAAGAGCTGTACGAGTATTTTAGTTGGAAGTTTCAGAACTGTAAGGTGTTCCTTTGGATGAAATAAATTACACCAAGCTATCATCGGTTTTGTGGGCATTCAATCTACTTGTATTACGAACCCGTGCAAAAACATATATATCGTCATTGTTTTATTTCAGTATTTTCTTTTTGTTGTGTGCTGGTATTGAACTCGTAATATCTCCAGCTTTACCATGTGCTTAGTGGTATGGGACATGGATGCTGACAGACTTGCCCCGGGATTCAAATCTACGACAACATGGATATTTGCAAGCATATACATGGAGGCAGTTAAAATACTGTTGAGAGGAAAGTGATCTTGAGAGGTTAGAGGTAGGCGAAGAGGGGGCAAAATACACTTGTATCCGTTTTCTGGAGTGTTCTTTATTAAAAGTGAGTTCCTTTGTGTAATATTACATCCCATAGGCTGCCTATGGGATATTCTGAGAATAGATTCTAGATAGGATGTTCTGAGAATATAATGGGACGTGTTTAGATTGGGATATCCCGGGATTTCCTGAGGAGGAAGTAAGTAGGAGTTCACATCCTAATAACATCCCGTACGCTGTCGATGAGACTTAGTTCGGATGTCCTGAGGATAGACTGGGATGTGACATTAAGCACTCGGGAGGATGTGTTTAGGAGGTTCGGGGAATATTCCGGGATGGCCTGAGGATGTGCGCATATACCGCGAGCAACATCCTAAGGATATCCCAAGGATGCTTTTGTGCTTTGTGGGATTCGATCACCACTTGTAGTGCACCCTGAGAAACATTCTTATTTATGAGACAAGTAAATGGCAGATGGATTTCAACCATTCCGGTTTATTGTATTAAACGGAATGTGTCTGGCTATTTACAACACTCTCTCTATGTAAATCTATACTCTTATGAAGTAATATTAAGCTTTCATACCATATACTAATCGTAAAGTAATATAATATATGCTAGATGAAATTAATGCCTTATGCCAGAATGCACAAAAGGTAATCTCTATGAACGTAATTTGCGAAATATGTTACTAAAAATAATACCACCTAATTACTTCTTCAATTATTTCTTCGGTACTCTTCTGTTATCGGGATTGGATTCAGGAATTTTATGTACGCATATATGGATGGATGAATGTGGGTATATGTGTATATGTATACAAACGCATACATGAACACATACATCCAAACATACATGCAAATATACTCGCATTTTTTAATCCGGTACTGATAACAGAACCGTACCACTTTTTCTTACCTTTTGATAGTATCATTCTGTGAAATACTTGTTTGAACCAGACATGTAATTAGAGTTACTGCAAGAATTTTGCGAATTATACTTTTCCTACATCCAATATCAACAAATGCGTACTTTTTCCACATATTTCTTTTTATTTCTATTTTTCATTTTAATTCATATGCCCACTAATTTAATTAATATTCACAATAATTAATAATGCATATAAAATTCAGTAATAATTGTTCCTCATTAAACATATATAGCTTGACCTACCGTCAAAGCTTTTCAATGAATTCCTAGTGTACAGAATTGCAAATCAAGGAAGTTACTTTGAAGATTAGAGTAGTTTGTTTTGACTCGTATCTAAACTACAAGGCACACTTTTCTATTTGTAACAAAAAGTTAAATTACGGATTACAGAAGTGCATTCGGAAGAAGAATTTATTATTGTTATTATTAATTATTATTTACTATTAATGTTATTTAAATTTTTAAAAATAATTATGTTTTTACAATCTGCAGTCAGGCTTGCTGATCTGCAATAGACACAATGATTCAAAATAGCCTCAGACAAATTTTAAAGAATTAGGTTGTAAGGTTTATCTTAATTTTTCTAACTGTTAATTTTGAGTTAAAGTTACTTTATTTTTCCTTAATTTCAGCTTACAACTTCCGGCCAGAACGAGCGTATTTTCAAAATCGCGTTTGAATACAAATGAGGAGAAGTATTTAATTGTGAAGTTCTACTGACTTCGTTAGAGAGCCAAAGATTCTGACTAGCGCACGTTAGCTTTTTTAGGCTACTCTCCCTCTTAAGCTATTATTACGCTCGGCCATACTTTAGGCCCTTGATAGTTTCGCCGTTATTTAGCATTAAGGGGTCAACTCTGTTAGAACCTTGATAGCTTCGGCTATATCTTTTTAGTTAAGCTTAGTTAAGTTTTATTTCTTAGTTGAGTTCAAGCCCGAGTGGAAGCTTTATTGTAACTCCAAGCAGGAATTTTCTGTTCTCTGTATACTGAACTAAAGCGATTATTCGCTTACCTGTTCTTAAGATTCCTCAACTTTATCTGTAGATTAAAACACAGGAATCTTACAAGGTATAAAAATCAAATCATATTTGCATTGAAACAGGTACCATACAAATGTCTTGCCTGAGGTAAAGAACGTTTTTTGCCAGACATATGATAGGCAAAGAAATTCATTACTACTTCAGGAGTTGATGCTGCTGTAGCGGAAGTCATTTCTGCTGTCGTACTGTTTTTTATATATCTCAGCTTTTATTCTTTAGCATATCTCTTAAAGACATTTTGTAATTTGGCCTACCTCTAACATTCCCCTTCAGAACCTTTGACGCCCCTGCAATATTCTCGCATACAGCGGCATTATTTTAATACCAAAAAAAGCACTAAACTGCAATGAACAAAAGTCAGAAAAAATAAGTTGTCTTTTTTCAGAGAATCATAATTGTTTAATCATCATTGGTATAATTAATAAAATCTGTAGAGCTGTAAATGGAAAAATTCATAAATTTGTAAAGACTTTTATATGTACCAATTACACAAATTTTAATCTCATATTTAAAGCTGCTATAATTGAAAAATAAATGGCAAATTCGACTGAAATTAAACAAACAGTTTACCTGAAACGTATTTCCTCTTTCGCTTGGGACTCTTCTTATGGTAATAAAGAGCAAGCAATACAATATTAAAGACAAGCAGCACAAGGAATACTGTTCCCACAGTGCCTGCAATTAATTCAATCAGATTGGCTCCAAAGGAGAGATCTTCACTTTCATCAGGTACTCTTCGAGAAGTTTCCTCTTTGAGATCTTAATCATAAAAGACAAAGTATTGATGTCAAATGATATTGCTTTTATGGAACCAAAAAAAAAAAAAAAAACTAAGAAAGATTATAATAAATAATAAATTAATAGTATTATAATAATAAATTAATAGTATTATAATGCACCTAATTTCAGATGCAAATGTTGCAAACAAAATGCCAGTATCAAAGACAAATTTTTATTAAATAACACTAATCCTGAAAGCTATTGGATTAATATGAGTAATATTTCAACAGAAAAAGTTCTACTTCTGTTTAATATACTGTAAACTGTATCCAAGGGTGCATAACTACTTTTTAGTGAAATCGCTATGACAGTGGAGACCTTTGTTTAAATTTATATAATTTTTTTCTCACATTACAGGTATAGATAACAGAACAGGATATCAGAACAAGATTAGCAATCATCTATAACTGCTTATTTCTCATCTATTAATTAAAAAAAACCTACATAATATGGACAAAATATAATGTTACAATAAGTTTTGAAGGTATGTCTCTAAGAATTTTAGAAGCAGCATTGAGAATTAGAAACATTATGTTCAGGTATAATAAAGTGCAATCCCCATCAGTCTACGGCTGGAAGCTGTTGCCCAGTTCCGGCTCCTGATTGAACATTATTGCTTAACAAAGCACCTTCAGCATATACCAATCTTTTCGAAACCTGGATGCCCTCACTGTGATTCGGGAAATCCTATGAATAGAGAACACTTCTGCGGATGTGCATCACTTCTTGGCGACTTTGAAACCGCGCTTTAATGGCGTGCTAGAGAACTTTTGAGGCAATGACTTCGGTCACTTTATAAGGTATTTCTCCCTTCTTAGTGCCTTCCTAGTGTAGTGGTCAGCACGCCGGGCGCGTATTCCAGAGGTCCGTGGTTTAATTCCCGAAGGCTTTGCTCATTTTACAAAGCTCCTGCTTCCAAAAAATACATAATGTCTCTACAACTTTTATGAACATCTTTTATTGTTTATTTGTACTTTTGTATTTGCGTTATCACTGAAAATAAAAAGAAACTGAAGTTCATCACAACTGTGATGTCATTTGTTGTCAGAGTTCATGAGGTTAGGTGAAATTTAAAAAAGGAAAAAAATCAGAGTTTATCAATTAACATTATGGAAGATGATTTTAGGTCTTTTATACTTGTAATCGAATGTTGGAACATAGTCTGTTAAGGAGCTACTTTCTTAACATGAAAAGACAGTCATTCTTCCAGAGAAGGTATGCGAATTTGTAAATCCTCGGTGAGATTTTATATGATACATACATACGGGACAACAGCTGAAAGCCTTTTCCAGCTGTCTTAATAAATCCAGCAGGAAAGGAGCCTCACGGTAAGTGCTAAATATTTGAGTTCTTAGAATTTTAACATCAGTTTGTTCATACTTATTTCGGCCTTGAAATTCACAGTGAATTGCATTACTACATTCGCTCAAGTTGAATTCTGCCAGTTTGCAGATGGGAATAAATTATTTTAGTTGGTTTTAAAAGCTCAGCAACCATTCAAGAAGATTTAAAATTTAGAACTAAGCTGAAACCTGACATATAGTTTCAACAAAATATTAGATTTTTCTAGATTTAATTCTCTAAGAAATGAAATGCAGCTATAGGTTTGTAACAGGTGCCAACATGACTGACAGTGTCAAGGATGAAGGTAGTACTGTGCTTTCCATGCAGCCTTCGATGGCAAACTCCTCAAGTCGAAGGCTGTGAGAAGATTGGTTGCCAGCCTTCAGCGCATATATCTCAGCAAGACAGAAGTCGCACATTGTGTTTAAAGGAAATGTTGGGCTCAATTTCATCAAAGAACTATGCAGATTCAAGTGTAGATATAGATATGTTGTAAGCGCTGCAAGACAGGATCAAGAGACAGTAAAATGGATTCGAGGTTTCTTGGGAATAAGGCGAGAACGATTTGGGAATATTGAGTCGGTTGGGCCATGATTGAATGTAGGATTGGGAAAAATAAATTGACTAAGATATACCCTAGAGGTAACAGTAGATTTATTGCAATTACGCTAAAAAATGGAGAGTGAAAAGGATTGACAACACAAAATCATTCTAAAAAACCAATCTTAACAAACGATGCTCTATTAGAGATGAAATGATGTAAACGAAATTTAGACAAATCTCGGTAAATTTCCTGCAGCCCCCTCCATGACCCATCACATGACTTCATCGTATGACCTGTTACATTATACACATTTTTTGCTGCATTGAGTTTAAACTTATTTCCTAGAATTTCATTAGAGGTATATATTTCATTCGATCAATTCAATTCTGACTTCGTGGCAAAACAAAAATACATAAACCTCCAAATATCTTCATTAAAATTCTAAAATACAGAAAAACATGAAACACTGAATACAGTTAAAACAATTAAAAATAATTTATACAACTAAAATTAGAGTTTCTATGCAAAACAAGCATTTTGGCGAGCGGGAAAAATGGCAGATTATTCGGTGCACAAAACTGACAGTTTACTTTTGGTCCCACTCGGCAAAAAGACACTAAAAGTGCAGAAACTGACTTAATTCGCTATTCTACTGAGTTTCAAATGTAAACAAATGCAGTTCGTTAGACTTAACTCACTACTTAAAGTTTTAAATTATTGATAATTCTACTACAATTGCATGCAGATTTACAAAAGGCATTAAAATCTTAAGTGGAACATAAAAACTACTCGTACATAATTCAATCACGTTTAACGCAAAAAATGCACAATTTACCAACATGCAACAATAAAAAAACTACGCTTACCGAGCAGGTAACAGAGTGGGAACACACACACACACACATATATATATAGGATTGGTGCAGCCGATTGTAAGGTAGCGAATAATGACGATTGTAAGGTAGCGAAAGGTAAGCGAATAATGACATTTCATCAGTAGAAGCGATTCATCACAAGAGTTATTCGATTCAAAACTGCTATGCATAAAAAAGCAAATAATAAGATTTGAAACGATCATGAGATAAGGATTGTTTTCCCCTTGAAATACTCATTAATTTTTGCAATAAAGTTAAGAACTATATATTTTTAGAGCGAACTAATATTTAGAAAATTAAATCTTGAGCACTCAAAACATTTACTCCATTAAAGATCACTTGACACCAAAGCCCTTTTTACCTCCAACACCACTAATACTCTGAGTGACGTCAGCACAGAAATAACTGTCGACGTTAATGTTTACATAGTTTTGCGTTATCTTCTACCCTTTCTTGATAAATCTGTAGTCATTAGTCTACTTTGAAGCAGAAGATGTGATAACTGTGCAATGCCTTCGCCGGCACTCGAACCTGGACCTCTCGAATACCCGCCGAGTGTGCTACCTGTTACACCATGGAGGCATGCTGAAAGGAGGGAGAATATACCTTAATTTTCAAATTACGTGTACATTAAATGTTTGATTCTGTGATTAATAATAAGTCTTGTGTCACGAAGTTAGTAAGTTTACCTTGCGTGACAAATTGTAATTGTGTTTTTTTTTTTTTTTTTCCCTTGCAGAGACAGAGATTTCAGAAAATGAAGATCTGTTCCGTTGTGACTTTCAGTAAATCACCTTATTTGCATGGTCAGGGATTCTCGTGAGAAAATGAGCATCATATTTGCTTTTGAGCTAGAGGGATCATGATCAAGCCACATGAAACGAAACCTAAATACTGTTTACAACCGCATTAGTTGAGTTATCAATTAAGTTGTTGACAAAAACTTATTCCTCTGAGAGGCCAGGGTTTTCGCTAAGAAAGCACACATTTCCCAAAACTACTATGAGAACAATTTCTTTTTAATGTAAAAACTCTCCTGGTCTTACATACCTGGATTTGTGTACTTTTGATATATTGCCTTAATTTCTTTGGATATATTACCATATTTTAATATGCACGTATATATACGTTCTTACAGATATCACAAAAAATATTCTAGGCCGTATATATACGGCCTTGCCGCTTAGAGGGTTAAGAAATTTAGGGAAGTCGTAAATTCTGAAAATCAAAAATCTTCCATAAAGTTTCTCCTCTTTCATAAAACTTAAAACAGCTTATAGAAATAATCAGGCTGTCAGAAGTACATTTCGTTTGGTTGAAAATAAGTTTCAACGAAAACTATATGTCGTACAGGAATTACTAATTCCTTTCCCTTAACATAAGTTATACTCATTTAGTCTAACCAGACGGTGCTGTAAATCTCATAATTGGCTTAAGTCGAGCCTCGTTGCTAAGTAACCAGATCTTGCTGTGTCACAAAAACTAGTCTAGGTAAAGAGTGTTAGTAAAATGAACTTTTCAACTTTATGTCGGCTTGGTATATGTGTCAACCAATCAGAGGCGTGAAACCTATTGAACAGGAAAACAGAATAGTAAAGCTGTAGACACACCCACGAATGCACAAATTTAGCTTCTCTAATTGGCTACGGCTTAGATCCTGTCTCGCAGGTGTGAACGGAACTCCCGCATTTTGTGCTTTCTAACTATGCCTCTATGACGTGTATACTACCGTCTGAACGAAGCCTTACTGACTTTCTTTGAATTGATTTAATCGTGTCATTACGATATGACACATGAAATATTGTATCTTACTAAAATTTGAAATGCATTTAGGTTAGTTCATCTTCTTTATCTACCAAAATGTGAACTGAGTTGAGGTTATTCAATATATCACATGCAAATTTTATCAGCACCATTTCTAAATAATGTCCCTACACAAGGCCAAACGATTATCCTGAAGGGTTTCAAATGAAGACGAAGACCTGTAATTTGACAATGAACAGAGAATATGTCTTTGTGATAAGCATTAACATGCTCATATTTTAGTTTCAGCGTTAATTAAAATATATGACTCGGCGATATTTTTAAATCTGACTTTAAATTTTAAAATATTTAAAGGGAGGAGGATAGAGTTAGCCCATACGGGCTATTAGTCTCGAAACGGCATCTTGCGTCGGTTTATTATAAATGTCTGCTTCACTTTTCAGACTGTTGCCACCGAGTATTATCGCCTGTATTATATTTAAAGAAATTAAATAACGAAGAATTGGCATGAAAATATGTGCGTTTCTCGCACTAGTAAAAAAAATGGTATCCTGAGCCATCAAATTCTGAATAACATAGTCCTCTACACTTATATGAGCACCTGGAAGCCCGAATTTGGAGTTTGTCTTATTGTCTATGTCATATTTTATAAAACATTAACGAATTTTTGATTAAAAGACTCAACAGTTTCAGAGCGAGCAGTGGCAACACTGTAGGGAATAAAACATTTTTATCTCCAGCGCACGAGACTTGCTGTCGGAAATACTAAAGATATGCTGTTTTTAAATATTTTTAGTCCAAATGCTGTCGAAATGTGTATGTGTCTGTAAATGAAAAAAAAAAAAACTGCACGTTTGCCTGTAATATAAAATTTGAAGTCTTTCAGACTTGTTTTATTTTTTAATTAATTATTTTTCTTTAAGGAACATTTCTTCTAATTACTCTTACCTAACGTTTTCGCTTTTACAATATCAGTCGTATACGGGCTACTTCCTTTCACATTAATAGACATAATAGCCACTTCATATTCCGTGCTAGGCTTAAGTCCTTGGATCCATACAGAGTTAGTCGCAGGGGGATGCACATCAATGTAACTTGCAGCTGGCTCCAGGAGCGACTTGAACCTAATACGGTGCGTCTGGTTATGTCCTCCACTGAAACCAGGAACCCATGTTACCAGAATTGAATCTTTAGTTGTATTAACCACTTTTATTATTATCGGAGGATCGGGAGCACCTAAAGAAGGTAAATGCACTGCTTAATTTTAAGATTACGAAAAAGATACAATTAGGAATTAAAATTAATTAATTTTTCCTAATAAAATTAATCAAACTTCCTAATTAAAATTGATTAGGATATAATTACAAAGTTTAATTTTAATGCTACGTTATAATGTTTAAAAAATACATGATAGGGAGAATACTGACGAAAATTAAATTTCTTCTTTATAGAAACTGAGAATATTGCCTAGAGAGAGGAACTCATTTAGAATCCAGTCGTTTTCGGTTACTTAAAAATGGAACCATATTGTGAAATATAACTGCTTTGCTACGCTTATGAGTTATCTGAAATAATATGACAATAATACGAAAAAAACTTTGCATGAGCAAGGTGCTACATAATTAAAGAAACACAGAAGGTATCCCGGAAACACAATAACTTTTCTCTTACTCCTTTACATTTGATCTGGAACCTATATTTTGAAACTGTTGGGAAATTTGTATTCCCTTTTGCATCTGCGCAGTACTTTCAAAGATAAGAAAGTGCAGCTGTATTAATCGTCTGCAGAAGGCGGAGTTACATATCGTCCTGATGTGCCTTCCATATAGTTCATCATCAAGGATTTCAAAGTGACTGTAGCTGTGGTTCTCTCCATTCGTTGAACTATATTTCCAGATACTGTGTGCTGACATTGATTTAGCTGTCCAATACAGGAACGGCAATAGGAGGTCCTTCAATCTCTCGAACTTCCACCGTACGCCATGATTAGCATGCATTTGCATGCTGTGTTCCGGCTGTGATTATGCCTCAAGCCTGCTTCAAGTAGACTGAGTGCAAAGCAGTGGGTATGGAAGGACAGCATGATATGTGGGAAAAGGGGCGTGGCACTTATCACGTGTACATTAGAAAACATGGGGTGGTTGAGGATGTTTTCCTGAAAATTATAAAATTACACAAAATAAATCGTCAGTCGAAAGAAGGATATCTTAGCTCCTTTTTCACGCAAGTTCTCCTCGTGCAGTCTTGATGCTAACAGCTTTGAAGCCTTTGGGAAAATCCCAAATCTCGTATAAAGTCATTCAGCACATGCTGGTCAACGGACGGAATCGTCTTCAATTTAAAAATCTTAGCCGTTGGTGTCAATTCGGTATTCATCAGAATTGTATTCCTGCATTTCTAAAGTTCTTCTCGTACAGTCTTGATGTTAACAGCTCTGAAGCCTTTTGGAAAATCCCAAATCTCGTATAAATTCCTTCAATGCATGCTGGTCAAATCCTTTAGGAACGGAATCGTCTTCAGTTTAAAAATCTCCGCCAATGGGGTCAATTCGGTATTCATCAGAATTGTATTCCTGCATTTCTATAAGAGGGTAATTCTTTGAAAACTGGCATTGGGAGTTCAGCTGAGTGAGGCACTGGGCGTATAGCTGATGGTAAACTAGGATACTTTATTTTACATATGTTTTTCTTGTTATATCCTGCCATTTTCACCATACAAAAGAAACAATCACTTTGAGCTTTCGCTAAATCATAGATATACCAAATAGAAATTTAGAACCTTTTCCCTTTCATCCACATTCATAGACCCTCGACACACTGCTTGCACACTTTGTGAGGAGACCATGATTTATCTCGATAACCAGTTTTCACTTTAAAATAAACTTGCCTGACAAATGTACTAATATTTGTCGTTTTACTGGAAATGGTAAAACTGCCACATATATAACAAAACCAATCGGGGCTTTTTAAGTACTTACGACATGAACTAGTAGAGGCGGACATAATGAAAGGTTTCAGTTCATATGCAGGACCGGATTTACGTATAAGCTACACAAGCTATAGCTTAGGGCCCTGGGGCTTTCTGAGGGGCCCCAAAAAATTAAAATAAAGTATAAAAAGTATTAAAATATATTATTATAAAGGGCCCCATATCTCAAATAGCTTAGGGCTTTATCAAGTCTAAATCTGGCTCTGTTCATATATTAATAAAAATTAAACACTGCTAACCTTGTATACAAACAGCAACTCTGATTCATGTCGGAATGCACTTCACTACATCAGAGCGGCTGATAGTTCACTATAAAGTCTCACTATAGTGTCTCAGGTGTAAGGAAATGAGATTTTTTTTTAAATAATTTTTTGATATTACTTATGTTATATGAAATAATATAGGGAAAGCAATTAATAATACAGTGAGAAACACTCGGGTCAATAGTAGATTTGAAAATGCTCCGAAATAACACCATGGGCCGTTCGAACAAGTGACTAAGAGTATGTGAGGAAAAATAAGCGGGAATCTAACGGTGCATTTACAACATTACAAAGTAAGGTTAGTAATAGTTATGATACATATATAATAACAAGAAGTAAAATAAACTGAGAAGTATATGTTAATACAAATTTAAGATATTACATAACATTATTTATTATTACTACCAGTACAAAAAAATTTTTCGAATACTGAAACAAACGGTAAATAACTTGTCTATGGGATTTTCATTTGCCTGTAGATCTGGCATCTTATCAGCATTCTTTTTCAGAACATTCATAATGGAATAACCTTTAAATAAGTTAGCTATTTCTTTAAAGAATTGTGTTTTCTTTAAAGCTATTTCTTTAACGAATTTTCTTTAAAGAATTATGAAACATTTGCAAAGTAGAGCATTGGAAAGGACCAATCAGAAAAGAGGAAATGGAAGAAAACTTTTATTTGAATTATAAGTTTTCAACGTGTCCACCGTTCTAGATTGTAATGCACTGCATGCAGGAGATTGCTAACAAAGTTGACAAACGTACCATCGCAGGATAAATGTGTATAACTTCACGTTGTAGATCTTCCATTTCTGACAAATCTCGTGGATTTGACGTGAACACCTTAAATTTTACGCAATCCCAGAACCAGAAATCCATCGGAATGGGGTCGGGGCATAGCGGTGTCTACGAAACTGCAAAAAGGGACATAACTATCTTCAGAATGCTGTCGCAGCTCTTACCGAACACATGTGGCAAAGTATGGAGGAGCACCACCTTGCATCCACATAGTGTCATTAAGGACATTTCGCTCCTGCAATTCTGCAACATTGTTGTACAACGAGCACTTGAGTTAGAGGACGTTTTCAAATCGCTAGAAGTGACCTCTTCGAAGAAGTACGAACATAGAACGAATGTACCTGCGATGCTGTAACACACAATCACATTAGCTTCGCATAATGGCGCTGGTGCCACATCGTGAGGATTTTCATTCGCCCTATGTACGCAGTTCTTGTAGTTTGCGTTTCCAGTTACTTTGAAATGCACCTTATGCGTCCATAATATCCGCGGCGGCCACCTGTTATCTGCATATATCCTGAAAACGAAAAAATTCGCAAAGTCCTCACGCTGTTGTGGTTTTCGGCACATCCAAACTGTGGGCAACACTTCTTGCAGTATGCAATAGATCGGCAGTGATTGTATCCAACAACTTCAACATAAACACATTGGCTGTCCGGATCGTGGTCTATCACATGTGTGTCCAGGTTTCTTCAAATTTGTTTATCAAATCACGTACAGCTTTTTTTAGTGGAAGATGGGCCTCATCATAGTTTATTTGATTTCGCCGATAAACATGCATTGCTTCAACAGCAGTTTCCCCATTCAGATAAAGCAGCTTTACCTACTCACCCTGATAGTTTTCTTGTAAGTTTCATCTGGTTAAGCCCTTTCGGCCACCTGATAGGGAAACATCTTCTCACACTGGTTATTAAAGGTTTTCTACAAGGTTTTCACTGGTTCTTACAATGCTTTGTAAATGTTTTACGCCAGCAACTTTCGTCATACGTATAACCTTTCAAGGCCGTTTTTGGTTTTTCTGGTTTCAATTTGCGCAGGAAAGTTTTGGGTGCTGCCTTTCGAAAATGGCAAAATATTTTCATAGCAACCGTGATAACCCTGTTGTTTTAAATCCCCGCAATCTCGAGCGCGTATGAAATTTCTTTTCGAATGGTTGAGTAGATAAACCGCTAGGGGTCGTCTATCGGGGTAGTTTTACATGTATAATATTGTCTACAATAGTTCGCCTCCACTTAATGCAATAGAATATTCTGATTAATTTGTAATACAAACCACAATGATGTTTCTACATTCAAAACATGTTCTCTCTTCAAGAATCTTGTATGCTCATATCATTTCACTCGTGGTATCATCCCATGCTCGTGATATCAGCATGCATTTTATGTAACCCGGAAGTATATCGGGAATTCAAATACGCATTTTTATGGTGTACAGTAATGTGCATTTATATTACATAGCATATACCCAGTGTCCCCTTTATGTATTGCATTACACTGTTTATCAGTAGCACACCATAATAGTGTCTCTTTGCTGAAAATTTGTACCTTCTCAAGAGCCTTGTTTGCTCATGCTTTATTATTATTATTATTATTATTTATTAGTAACAAAATAATGCTGTCTGTACTGTAATCCCAGCCCTTGGCTGTGGTTTGGCCGAAGTAGATCAACTCCGATGAGGAGGTGGAAATCCCGTATGGAGAATAATCTAGGTACATTAAAACAATATAAAATATTGAATGAATCAAAACCCTCTTTAATTAAATATTTGTGGCAGACTGCACTTAGCGTATGATTACACATTACTTACTGTCTGGTAGCAAATTTACTTCAGCCGTGGCAAATCCTATTTCATTTCTAGCGATGCATTTGTATTCGCCAAAATCTTTCGTATTGACATCTGCGATTGTTAAATTTCCTTGCCAAGTCAAGTAGTCCAGTTTTCTCACTTCGCTTGTCATTCTGTCATTTCCGTGGGAGACAATTACGCCTTCAAAGGACCATGAAAAACTAACATCCGGAATTCCTTCTGCTTTGCAGTACAGTTGAGCACTTTTACCCCTATCACTTAATACAGATTTGTAAGTTTCTGAACCTTTTATAATCGGCTCATCTAAAAAATAAAGAAATGAATTTAAATGAAATATATCTATAAAACAAGGAAAATTTGTAATTATTTCATGAATTCAATATGAATCAACAAATTCTTAAGACAACGCATAATTTATAAATATTATCATTGTAGTATGTTCGTAATTTTGTTTAAAAATATATCTATAAAACAAGGAAAATTTGTAATTATTTCATGAATTCAATATGAATCAACAAATTCTTAAGACAACGCATAATTTATAAATATTATCATTGTAGTCTGTTCGTAATTTTGTTTAAAATGGTATGCTTCCATATAACAACATTTATGATATATACATATATATATGTATATAATTTTATAGTTTGTTATAATTTGTTTTATATGTTATATAATTTTCGAATATTTAAAAAAATATTAATAGGAGATTTGGCTTTATAACTTATAAAGATGTTTCATCAACAGATACTTATCAAGTACTTATTTTCTTCATAATTTGGCAAAATAAACAAGCTATATGATATTAGTAAACAAGTCTTTATTTTCTTATTGATAAAGCCGCTCTAAAACACAAAGAGAAATAAACGGATTTTCTCTGCTTAAGAATGATTTAAAATCATTCCTTTCTAACATAATTGCTTTCAAGCTCCTCTTCTTTTGCAAATTGGAATTATAGAGTTCAGTATCCTAATATAGCTAGAACTTTAGATAAGGATTACAGCCGAAAACATCGCGGAGGAAACAACGCAAGGAGAAAAACGTCGTCGCACAAAATATCGTGGGAGAAAATAAAGCAAATAGAAAACATCGCAGTTCTAAAACATCGCAGTACAAAATATCGTGGTCGAAAATAAAGCGGTTCACAAACTTCGCAGTTTAAAAACATCGTCATCGAAAATATCGTGGTAAAAAATAAAGTACCTACAAATCATCGCATGACGATAACATCGCAAGCATGCGTAGTTCAGGCTTTAATAACTGTAAATGGATATTCGCATAATGGTTTGTGAGCGCAAAATGGAAAGATGGATAATTTTTACTTTCATTTTTTATTACCTAATAAATTTATAAAAAACAAAATAAGAAATTTAAACAAAAAATAAATAATTTTTACTACAAGAATATCAGATTAACAAAAAGAATAATCTGATAATTTTTTTATAGATAAAGTCATGCAGTTATTCTTTTTCTAATCTTTTTTAGATTATACTTTACATGAAAAATTACCAGTAAATCTTTATAAAAATAATTTGTTAATGACTTTTGTTAGTTAACTACGTCAGTTTAAAATTCTATTTTAAATGCTATAAATTGCATCAATTTTCTATGCTTAAGTTTCCATTTTACATTTTCAGCAAATATTTATTAGTTAATAAAAAAGTATGAAAGGAAAAATTATCCTACTTTCCATTTTGCGCTCATAAATCATTATGCGAGTATCTTTTCACAGTTATTAAAGCCTGAAAAACGCATGTCTGCGATGTTATCGTCATGCGATGATTTGTAGGTACTTTGTTTTTTACCACGATTTTTTCGACGACGATGTGTTTAAGCTGCGAATTTTTGGACCGCTTTATTTTCGACGACGATGTTTTGCCACCAAACGATGTTTTAGAATTGCGATGTTTTCTCTTTATTTTCTCCCGCGATGTTTTGTGCAACGACGATTTCGCCTTGCCTTGTTTTCTCGGCAATGTTTTCGTCCGCGATGGTTTCAGCGGACACCTTAGAGAAGATCTGTAATGTTACTTATTTCAAATATTTAACATCACAGTTCAGTTTTTTAATTACAATTAATTAATTAATTAATTTTTTCACACGTTGTAGTGAAACGTTTTCAAAGACGATTTCCAGCAGTTTAAAAAAAAAATGCCATTGATCTTCTGTGAATGTCATCGTTTTAGATGATATAATTGTAGGTGCCATTCAGTGATAATGGTATTTACGTCTCATAACATCTAATGCGTTTAGAGGTGGTCTGTATGAGAATTTTCACTGTATTTTTTTATTAAAATACCCTCCTTATTACTCCATTGATTCTCAGAGTACTGAATGGAAAAATTCAGTCTATTTCGTTCAGTTCTAATTTTATAAAGAGACACCTGTTTAATTTTACTAAGTGTTACAAATATTTCTAAACTCAGTAATTTATTGAATAATTTGTTATAAAATAAGTAGCCTCGCTCAAAATATTTCCTTGCAAATGTTAACTTTTCTTTGCGTTTTTTTATTTGACAGTTCCATCCAAAGATGCACTTAAAATTTTGTACATGATTTAATTTCACTGTCCCTATTTCTAGGTACAAAATGCTGTCTGAAAAGAAACCTAACTAATCTTTGCTAAATCTCTCTAGCCTCTAAAAGTATGCGTCTGAAACACGTGATCCCGTGATTATTTCGGATTCCACAAATACACATTTATATTCATGATCTTGCAGAATGGCATTAAGTATATACGTGTCGCCTATTCGTAAAATTCAGGAATATACAAACCGTAAGACTTCTTTACATCATGTTCTAAAGCCAGACTTTACACTAATATACGAGATTTGTATTAAGCTATAATCTAAGCAGAGTATCAATTTGTATTAAGCTATAATAAACTAAGCAGGGTATAAAACCATATAATAACCTTACTTCACAGACTTCCTATTTGATACAAATAAAATTGAATACGTACGTTTTATTGTTGGAAGAATACTATGGCTATATAATGTTACGAATTTTGTACATAGATAGATAATTTTAGTGAAATTGTTATATTTTCCCCTATACTGTAACATTCAAATCTAGAGAGACGAAGCTCTGCCAGAAAAATAAGAATACATTGGCAAGTCTATTTAACATTGATTGAATTGCCATCTCGCTAATTTGGCGAGAAATAGCCAAAAGTCGGCAAACTTGACGACCATTTGGCGACACTTTGGTCCGGTCCCTGTATCGCCGTAATAGGCATTGTAATTGAATAACTGCAATTGATTCCTATATTAGCTGTACTCGTATCTGGCCCTTATATATGCCTTCCAGTAATTTCGAGAAGTACTAGAATTTTCTGGGCGGCCGGTTGAAAACTGCATAAGGCCGGAGAAAGCACCTGCTCTCAGTTATTCTTGTGAGTTGTTATTTCAGAGCGTTTTCGGAGTATTGAGATATCCGAGAAAGTTTCGTTTTTCAGATGCGCTTTGCATTTCATTGTGTTTAACGTTTGAAGTGTAACCATTGATTGTGTTCTGGTATACTGAGAACACTTGTACGAGTATTTCTGTGGAAAGTTCCAGAACTCTGAAGTGTTTCTTTTGATAAAATAATTTTTATCAACCTATCATCCGACTTGTGTGCATTCAATCTATTACAAACCGATACTCACTCAACAATAGTAATGAGGAAGGAATTTTCGAAAACGATTCAAAGAAGGATAATGGTGCGTAACAAATGCTTTGAGTCTGAGGATATAGGTAATGGCTATGAAGCTGCACTCTGTATGTTTAACATGCTATATGTTATGCACTTCATGCCTACGTTGTATAGCACGTTCTGAGTGAATAAGGTATTTACGAATTTTTAATCTTTCTTAGAAAACTCCTCTAATAATTTAGTAGTTGTTGAATTATGTCATACATACGCTTAACAAGAAGGAGAATCTTCCAAGTATCTGAATTTCCAACACCGTTATCTGCAATGCAGGTGAACTCTCCAGATGCGTCTCTCGTTACGTTCTTCACAATCAAAATAGACCTCCCAAAACTCGGCTTTAGAGTCTCTGTTCGTCCATTCATATCAAAGTTATCTCGTTTCCACTTCAGAGCATCACTGGGTAGGGGATAACCATCACCCCGGCATTCAAGTTTCACGATAGTTCCTGGTTCGGCTACTATCGTATTTTCAGATTCGTCTATTTTCTTAAATATGATAGCAGGATCTAAATAAACAGAAAAAATTTTATTTGCAATAACTGAAAATAATTTGCTCGAAATGCGTTTGGTATGACAGATCATATATGAAGTCATAAAAAAATTTATTTCTGCCATGGTTGCGGCATCATAATGTATACGGAGGCTAGATAAATTCACACTGACAGAGCTGGATATAAATCGGAGCCAAGAAAAGTTAACAGTGAGTGATTGTCATAGATACTTACAGTGAACGGCATAACATATGCCTCAGTCACAGATTCAAAGTATTGCGTCAAGATTAATGTATTGTATCGTAAAGTATTGTAATGCATAATTAATATATTATACTGCAAAGTTAACATATTGTTACAAGCTCTGTACATGCGTAAATAATTTTAACGAAATTATGTGTAAATTGTAGTAGCTCTTGAATAATGTAACATGAAAGTCCTCAAGAGTGTGAAGCATTACCGGAAAAACAGGGTTGTAGGAGCTAAGTTCATTTAGCATTGAGGTAATGCAAGATAGCGCCAAACCAATGTAGTTTTGGCGACCGATTTTTGTCGCCAAATTCGGCGATCATTTAGTAACATTTTGATCGTATACCTAGCGCAGGGGCATGCTAATCTTCTCTGTATCGTTCCAATTTTAGTATATGTACTGCCAAAGCAAGTACTGATCGTACACCTATGTAACTGTAATCGGTCCGATCCCTATATAGCTGCAAATGTTAACAATTTCTAGAAATCGTAGGTACTGGAAATTTCTCAGCGGACGGGAGAATACTACACTCGCGTGCGAAATTAAGAGAATTTGTACATTATGTGGAATTTCTAAGAAACTAATGGGCAGGTTTTAACGAAATTTGGCATGAATATTTAGGTATAACAGAGAAAGAGAAGCGCCAAAAGTCATTTTATGAAGGCATGATTATCAGCAAAATTCATAGTGCAGGGATGTCCAAAATACCCGTTGTGATATCGAACTAAAAATGAGTCTAGTTTGGGGCATTTTGCTTTAAATATCTGCTTACGTCTTGCACTTGAGATACAATTAAACAGTTAATGTGTCATTTTTTTAACTGTGTTTCACTGCATCTCGCAATTAAAAGCTTTCTGGTTCACTATTATTTGATTATGATCTGAAATTGACAACATCTCGGGAACATACCATAATCATTTCAGCAATTCAGCTTACTTCCATGATATCTAAATTTAAATACTACTTCTACAGTAATCAACAGACTAACATAATGATTAAAATTTGAAAATTAGTATCATACTCACAAAGGACTTTTAATACGATAGTTATCACTGATTCTCCAACATCATTCTTAGCTTCACAGGAATATGTTCCAGTTTGTGACCTTTCTGCAGCTGTTATATTAAGGACTGGTCCTTCCCAAACAGTGTCGTTATCTTTTGTCCATCTATATGTAACTTTGTCCGGGTTCGCTTTCGCGGTAACATCAATGACAATAGACTCATTTTCTTTAACTTCAAAAACCTTTGAATCCGATATTTCGAACACAGGTTTATCTGAAAAGTAGTTTATTCTACATAAACTGAAGCTGAAACAATGCAATTAAACTGTTTTCTAACTTTAACTACTAATTAATGAAACTAAAGTAAAGTGGTATATTTCTTTATCAGTTTCAAAATTTTTGATTTTTTTTTAAATTGGAAAATCAATAAAAAGCAAAATTTCGATACTGTTGTTATGAATTTTGTAAGTATGCAAATAATTTTAATGAACTCCTACGTAAAACCGTAGTAAAGTCCTACGTAAAACCGTAGTAAAATCCTACGTAAAATTCTGGTAAAATCCTACGTAAAATTGTGAATTGTGGTAAAATCATACGTAAAATTGTGAGAGAGAAACAGCATAATAAAATTACTGTGCTCTGTCTCTCTCTCTCTCTATCTTTTCTCTAAATATAATTACTATATTCTCTCTCTATACATACATTATTGCCTAAAGTAAAATTATTATTCTATACTTTAAAAGAAAAAGAAAAAGCGTTATTGCTACATGGAATAAAAACACTGTAGTTTAGAATTGTACTGTAAAGAACAAGAGGGACAACTCAAAGGTATTCAAATTGCCACAGAGAAATACAACGGTAAAACCGAAAGAGCATTTTACTATTCAGAGAACATAAAGAAAATTTCTAAATTGAAATAATCCCTGAAATTGTATCTTACATGTATTATTTTTTGAGCAATTTTATTGCAAATGTTAATTATTAATGATAATTAATTATTGGGACTGGATTCTTACATAAATTGTAAAAAACTTGTGGTTATCTGACTTCGAAATAAAACTTTGTAAAAAACGTAAAATCTCCTTCACAAATATAATTCATTACTGAAACCAGCTTGAACTGAAAAAAACTTGACATAACTTACATAACATAACACAGGAACTTAACAGGAACAGCGGTTTAGCTGGAATTGGACTTCTCTCAGCTATTACCACACAGCTTGCCTTTCACGTATTCCACACGGAAACTGGGTGAGAAGACCACTGATATGTAGTCCTCATTAAGTCTGCTCGGTTTCTTTTTAGACTGAGCCAGATTCTCGTACGATTCAGTAAGCTACTCCAGACTTGACCTCAACTCTGGCAAAATGCACTAAGTTATTGGACTTAAAACGGATCTTTTCTGTAGTATCCACTTCACCGCAGGACATGACCGGACCTCTTCCAACAAAAATTCAGCCTCTCTGACGGTACTGGCAGCCACCTACTCTGCTTAGTGAGGAGTCTGCACAAATCCGTATTGTGCTGCTATAGCAGCAACCTCCGTCTATTATTGGTGGTGATCACCGCTACTTCACTAATATGCCAATTTCTCGTCAATATTTAACAATTAGCAACTGAACATTCTGCGTTTAAGGTTTTGATAAAATTTAATTAGGATTTTGAATAAAGGAAATTTCTAACTAATGCATTTGACAACATTATAATTTTTTTCCTAAACGACATATGAGTACTCGCATATATGACGAAAACGTTTGCAAATGTAACTCATAATGTTACCAATCGTTCTGATGTCTACTCGGAATATAATGCTTTAATACCTCGAATAACCTAATTGAAGATTAAGCTAGATTATTTGAATATAGTAAAGCATATTAAAGCTATCTACCTAATAGAAAGGATGGTTTCATGGAGGATTTTTCTGTGGGAAATTGGCTCGTATTTACGTTACACTTGGAAAAATCTTTGAATGCAAACCATTCAGCCAACGCTCGCCTAAGATCGAACACAAGTAGAATTCCAAATAGTCGGCGGTGTGAACTATTCCGCCAGTGTTAGGACTAGCCTTATGGAAGCCTTATGGAAAACAAACATCGGACATATGATAGTGTTAGCAACAACATGTAACATGAATACTCAAAACGCAATTTTCTTTTAATCATTCAGCGTTTCTGAGCCGCAAATTTTACGCACTGAAGAAACTGCCATGAATAACAACAACTAAGCGATTTACAACAAAAGTCACCATGTAATGGCAGTTTGTATAAACTTTATAAGAGTAGAAATTTCAGAATTTGCATAGATCGGATTTAAAATATAGAACTCAACAAAATTTACTGTGGAAACAGTAACTGTCAACTTAACATCTAAATTGGATTGACAGTACCCTTGGCAGAACATGTGTTATTGGCACATGTTCCTTGTTAGGAACATGTGCTTGTTAGGAACAACAACTTTCAATATTAATACATTGCAATATTACGCGAAAACGCATACGCCATTATAGTAGTAATTTATGCTTTGGTAATAATGCAATCTGCTTTATGAAATAATTGAACGTTTGTATAAATGTAATGCATACTGAACTGTGAAGAATTAAATCACTTCAATTTCTTGCAATTTCTAGTAGTATTTTACTTGAGAGATTTTTGCTGCAATTCGAGCTTGCTGGTTATTTCCCATTAGGTAAATCAATCATTTTTAGCTCACGAAAGGTTATAATGTGATACATTTATCACATAATATCTTCTTTCAGTTGTATTTCAATCTATAGATTCTGCTCGCTAACAAATGTCTTTAATTGTCCTTAAAGGTTTTCGATTGAACTTAAAACTGCTGCATAGCCATTCTAGCACTCCAATCTCATTTTCTTTGAATCAGTTTTTGAACTGAATAGTAACATAACAAGATACAGAGTATCCAGTTGAAATACAGTAATCATTAATGATAAATGAGTTCAAAAGCTGAAGGTAATTGAATTTATCACTGGTGTATTATTTGCTGATTGAAGTGCTATTAATCAAACAAAATCTTCGCATACCTTTTCTATCATATATCTCCATAACTTAACACTAACTGAATCTGTATCAATAAGTTATGTACAGTCATAGAGTAAGTCTTCTCCACTTCTTTTTCTGAGTAATTTCATTTCATATTTATGAAATACGAATATTGTGATTTTGTCATACAACTAACAGTGTTTATCCATCTGATCAATATACATTTCACACCGTTCCAATGTTTTGTCTTTGTTTGATGGATAATAAAGGTTTTCGTTTTTTCTGGCATTAAACTTAAACTTTGAAGTCTGCATCGAACAGTCATGTTTATACCACATTGTATGCAAATCATTTTGGTTTTCTCATGATTTTGTTTCTGTTATCAAAGCACAGTTTTTTTAATCTTTTCTGTAACTGCATGTTGTTTTGAATCGTTTCCCGCCTTTGTTTGCTTTCAAATAAATTACTCGTTTTACATCTATTCAGTCAACATTTTTATCTCTCTTGTCATTCTAATTAAGTTACAGAGCAGATAGATATAAACATTAAAAAAAAAAAAGACATAAAAATATAAAGATGAATTTACCGATAATCAACTCTGTAAGATCTTTTACTATCCATTTTTCGAAAAATTGAACTTACTTATGACAGAAATTTATTTGTGGCATTGCAACATTTGACAGATTTTAACTTTCGAGTTCAAGAAATCACTTCTCTATATGCAAGTTAGTTGTATCGTTGAGGTTCTGTCTCACAAAAATCTTTAGGATTACTTGCTCCAGATAAGAATCCTCTGCGCATACCTGCTGCATATTTTCTCCTACTTTTATTTAAATGTAACACTTTACATGGTAAAGATAATCCTTTAGGGTGAACTGCATACTATTTTGCATAAAAGTATTTTTCTAGTGAAATATAACTAATGGGATTTTCTTTAAAATAATGAATCATTTAGATTTTGTAACACATATTATCTAAAAAGATTCTACAATTTTAGTTATTAGTTTATATCAAGCAACCCAAAATGTCCGTTAACACTTGAAAATTCAATAGTTCACTGTATAATGTAGGTAAAGTTTCACCGCTTTACCTACATTATTCAGTGAAATATTGAACTGACAAACATGTTTGAAATGTCATGGGGTTTTAATGAAAGCAAAAGAAGTGCTTAAAATGGCAAACAGATGGCGCTTCATATGATAACCAAAGCAATAATTAGCATAAAAAATGGTTTTTAGCAAAGACAATGTTCTTTATAACAAATGTTCATTATATCGGCCGTCATCAACAGTACCTATAGTCTAGTGGGCAATGTTGTGACAGCACTGCACAGCATATCTGTGGGTATAGTGAGAAACTGTCGCCAGATTTTGTCTTTTAGCATCCCAAATGAGGTCAGACGATCGCGGTAGACTTGAGATTTCAGTCCCCCCCCCGGGGGTCGACGTAGAGAACTCTGCGAAGCTACTGGTTACGATCTGTACCTAGGCAATCTCGGCCACGGGGGTATAAAATTTATGAACTTGGTGGTTCTGTAGGCTCTGCGAAAGGTCACTTATTGGCCGGCCCCGGAGTCTGCACGTCCTAGCGCGGCGTGGTTCTAGTAAAAGGGGGTCTCCCCGGGGTCGCTGGTAATGTCCCTGCGACGGCTCGCCCAAGCGATGGTAGGAGCATTAGACGACGGTGCTGCCTGGGGTCGTCCCCAGGTGGTGCGCTGCTCTCCTGGAGGGTAATAGTGGAGGTTGAACCACCATGATGTGCCCAAAGGGGGAGTGGACCCGGAATGAGATTGAGTTCTCGATACGGGGAATGCCCTAATCTTCTTCTTCTTCTTCTTGAGATTTCAGAGGCCAAGACTAGGGATCAGCCAGACTAGGACCTAGACTATCAGCCAGACTAGGGATGATGCGATTCTGTAACATATCAATGAACCTCACATCCATCACACTGAAACTTTAAATAGCAGAATCACGTATTTCCTCGAGGAAAAACGCTCCGATCACGATTAATGTAATAAATCCACATCACGCTGTGTCACACCCGGAGGTGATTATAGAAAAATTGATAAAGTTATGAAGAGATTTATTCTGTCTCTCACTGCAGTTCATTTCATACACGATTCTCATGTGACGTCACTGAAATTTTGTTGCCCAGCTCCACATGTGGGCCTTTTTTACCTTTTTTTTTTTTTTTTTTTTTTTTTTTTTTTGGAGGAGGGGCTTTCAGTAAAACCTCTTACTATTTCAAGCATGTGTGCCAATTTTTACCTCTGTACCTACATTATTTTGTGAATTATTGAATTTTCAAATGTTAACTGACTTTTGGGTCACCCGTTATTTATAATACGCTGGTCTCATGCAGCTAATTTTACATTTTAAAACTAAAAAGCAAAAGGACAGAATTCACTCACAAAAGATATTCAAAATAATTGAATCGAGTATACTGCGCTGGATAGCTTCATTTGTGGCTTGGCATGTGTACTTGGATGCATCATCACTGGCAGTGACATTCAATGAATACACCGACTTCGAGGAAAAGCCACCATTTTCCGCAGCAGCTGCTACAGAATGCACAGTAGGTGCCAGCGGTACACCTGTTTCTGCTTCTTTCCACCAAGTAATATTCGCAGCTGGATTACTACCATCAGACTCACAGATAAGACGTACCTGAAAGAACAAAAAAGTAAATTAAAGATATTTCTTACAATGAAACATACGCCTGACAAGTCAGATGAGAAAATGTTCAAAGCTAACTTGAAACATTATAAGGGTACGATTATGAAGTTGCTTATGTGGCCCCAGAAGGGCCTTAACGGGCCACATAAGCAACAAAGGAACAAAATTAAGCCTCTAAGAGTACACATGACTTTGACCAGCTAGCAGGTGATTCCATGAACGGTCGAGAAAGTGAGATAAAAGTGAGGAGAGCATTGTCTCTTGTACTGCATGTGGGCCAATCAGATTGATAGCGACGGGAGACGAAAGTCACTATCCGCCAAGAAAACAAGTAAACGTCGGCAGTGAAAGCAAAGTTACGAAGTTGTGGTCTTTAAGCATGTGGGAAGCAAATGGTATGATCAAATTATCCTCTGGAATGATCTGGTAATTGAGAACTCCTGAAACATTTTCAGCATCCCAGCTAGCTCCAGTTTTTAAGAAACTATTTAGTAATATGATGCACTATTGGATAGATTTTCAAGTCATAATTGATGAGGTCACTTCTTATCAGGTAATGAGTATTTATAATTCTTAGAATCTTATTTTGTACTACATTGGTTATCATAAATTAAGGAAAAATCACAAAAATCACGATTACTGAAAAAGTTACATGTAGAATTTTATGAAACTTACCCACAATATACAACACATATAAGGTATCAAATAACATAAAAAGAATTACCAGACATTATGGTAGTATAGAAATTCGTTCATGTATAAAATGAACAAATCGAAGATTCAGTTAGCTAGTAAAAGTACTTCAATATGAATATAATCGTCTCTAGAAG